CAACTACGAAACACGTAACAAAGATCGTTTATTACCAGAGAAACACTCAACTATATTGTATCACAAAAGTTTGCATAATAATGCCTGTAAGTTCTTTAATGCATTGCCTCAGGTAATTACTCTTAGAAAAGAACTGCTACTGTTTATCTGACTACTTTTTGTAATCTGTGTAACTATACGTAAAACGTCTTTTTTTTCGTTATTCTGTATTGTATTGTCTTGACGCATATTAACATATATAACTGTTGTATATGTTTTTTATTAATTAAGACCCCCAACTGACCCGGAAATGACCCGCATTCAGGCAAGACTTCTATCATTACGGGTATTAAGACCAAGTAATGATATGCATTGATTAGATTAACAAAACAACTTTCGAGATTCTAGAATTACAGCATACAAATTAGTCTGCTATTATTCTCTAATCTCACCCCATCCCCAAAAGTCTAGCGTAACTACCGATCATTTATCCGCGCATCACTTGGAAAGTGACCTACACTACTCTGACCTACTGGTGCTAATCTAATCTAACTGACATGATCAGACTGTTCGAGAAACTTTCGAACAATATGACATGTTACTAACGAAACAGCTTTTTGAATTTTGACAATTATTGAATCATTCAAATGCAAAAACTTTAAATTCTCAACTAAGCTATTTGGGACTACACCTACATTAGAGTTAACTAACGGTAGAATTGAAATTTTTTTAAGATTCAACATGGATTTCATTTCTATCGATAATTGTAGATATTTTGATATCTTGGTGTGGTGTGATGTTTGAATAATGTTGTTTGTGTTAGGAATACCAATGTCAATGAGAATGGCTTCGTTCGTGTGTTTTTTGATAAGTATGATGTCTGGTCTGTTAGCTGTAATGTTTAAGTCTGTAAGTATTGTGCGATCCCAGTATAATTTGTATTTGTTATTTTCAAGGAACGGAGATGGGATGTAAGTGTAATAGGGTGTCGTATCTTCGATTAAGTTCATAAGTGTTGCTAATTCTTTGTGAATGATTTTGGCGGCGTTGTCGTGTCTAGCTTTGTAATCAGTTTGTGCCAGGATGCTGCAGGAGGAGATTATGTGCTGGATCGTTTCAGGTTTTGCTTTGCAGAGTCGACAGCAGTCGTTTCTTATATTCGGATCTTTGATGATGTACTTTCTGTAATTATTGGTATTGATTACTTAGTCTTGAATAGCAAACACAAATCCTTCTGTTTCGGCATACAAACTTGATTTTTTTAACCAAATCAATGACATCTTATTGACATGAGTTTCTTCTAAGTGTTTGTAGAATTTTCCATGTGGTTGTTTTTATTTTAGCCCACTTATTATTTTGTCTATTGTGTGGGGGGTGTGGATTTCTTTGGTGTTCGACAGATTTAAGCGTGTGTGGTTCAAATCTGCTCTTGTGATGGTGCGAAACATTTCATTTCTTTCTGCTCGTTTCAAGAAATACTTCTTCAGATCTGAGATTTGTCTCTGATATAAGTTTTCTAGGTTCTGGAAACCCCTTCCTCCATTCTGTCTTGGTAATGAGAATCTTTCAATCGACGATTTTGGATGATGCCTTCTATACTGTCTGAAGATTTTCCTTGTTGCTATGTTTAAATTTTCAAGATCAGTTTTGGACCATTTAATGATTCCAAAAGAATATGTTAGCAGTGGAACGCAGAATGTATTTACTGCTTTCATTAAATTTTTTCCATTTAACTGTGTCTTCAATATTAATTTTAATCTCGCTCGGTATTGATCTTTCAACTGTGTTTTCGTTTTGGTATGATTGATGTGGGAGGATTGACAGAAACCCAGATATTTGTATGTATCATTTCGTTCTTGGGCTTCGATTATTTCGTTATTCTAGGTTATATGTGGTACTTGGTGTTGGACGCCTGATTGCTTGGGTTTTACATTTCTCAATACCAAAACACATACCAATATCATCGGAAAACTGTTCAGTCAGATTTAGTAGGTTTGTTAACTGATTTTGTGTACTTGCATATATTTTTATGTCGTCCATATACAGCAAGTGACTTATTCTGTTTTCTCTTTGTTTGTTAATTCTTATATTGAACCCATAATTGCAGCTGTTCGGGATATCGGAGAGGGGATTTATTGCTAAGCAGAACCATAACGGGCTAAGAGAATCGCTTGAAAAATTCCTCTTCGGATCATTATTGGATCTGACTGAATTGTTTGTTCCATTGATCTAATAAAGGAGTGGATGGAGCCTTGTATACGTTTCCATACGCGAGCGAGTGTAATCAACATAAGTAAGAAATAGCTAGAGCGGTTATGCATCAGTGGGGAAAGGACGGCTGACCACGTATCACGTGCTGGGTGGCAAGAAACGCTTCATTTGAACGGGAATTAATACGTTTTCTTAGGAATTTGTTCAAACAATCAATTATAACAAACGTCTGTTAATGAAAACTATATTTTTACAGTTTACATTAAAATTATGTGTAATGTGAAACAACAAAAATCATGTTAAGTGGTGGAGATAGTCTTTTAATAAAATGAAATGTATACAGAATCTACAATATATTACGAATTCAGTTAGTACAATAATCTTCTACAAGTTAACTAATCTTGTAGTGTATTTTCATTGGTAATTTTGACATTTTTGGGATAAAAGTAATTAAACTTTCGATAAAAGTGACAGGGTGCCTAATTAAATTAAACATATTAAATTGTGTGGAATTTTCTACTAAAATCTATTTTCTAAATCCACGTACAAATAACTAAAACAATGATCAATAGATATAAAATTCCCGCTTTTTGTAGCAATAATCCGTTTTTTTCGTAACTCGGAATGTTTAGGGAGTCTAACAAATTTTTTAAATTATTTACGAAATCCTTCGTCTGTGTATCTGATTATTACCTATGAAATGAAACAGGATTGCTTTCTTTGCACGTTCTATGCAATTATACGCACAGCACGATTTCACAATGTTTAACAAATAGTCCAATAAAATACAACTTAAGAAGACTGTAGACATTTAAATAAGGTAACTTGTGCCTAAAAAACGTAAATTTGCAAAAATACACCTTCAAACACCATGCGACAGCACGAAAGAAACCTCCAGCAACACAGTGCTCTGCAGTTTCGCGTCAATGTATTGCCACCCAGAGAGCCCTATCTCTGTCCCACTGTGTTGACAACGCGCGTCTCTCTCTAAGTTACTTCCATATAATATTATTTCTATGGTTTGTTCATTTAAGGTTATTTGGAGGGTGGTCTTCCAAAATTCCATGGAACATTTGAGAAAAGTGCAGATTTTAGTATCAATTTTGTATAATTCCAGAATTTTGCATAGCCAGGAATGAGGGACAGAATCGTAAGCTTTCTTATAATCAATAAAAGCAGTATATATGTTTCGGTTTTCTTTTCTAGCTTGTTCGCAGATGATGGAATATATGATTAATTACTCTTTGCAACCAAATGATCCTTTAATACATCCTTTCTGTTCTTCATTAATGATGTCAGCGTTAAAACAGTGTTGTAAGTTTTTTTGTGTAATGCATGCGGTTAATATTTTATAAATTGTCGGCAAACATGTGATAGGTCTGTATTTTAAAGGATTTTTTGTGTCGTTATCTTTAGGTTTTAGGTATGTTACACCATGACATAAGAATGTTGGAAAGGAGGCTGGGTCAAGAAGGAACTGATTTAAGTGATATAGAAAATGAATATGTACACAATTAAATTTTTTTATCCAAAAATTACTGATTTTGTCTGGTCCTGGTGATTTCCAGTTGTGTGTCTTATTGATGGTATTTATTAATTCGGCAAGTGTTATCTGAAGATCGTTCATTGGTGTAACTGTGGATAGTTTATGGGATATATGAGGAATCCATTTGCCAGATTGGTTAAATTCAAATTCTTGAGACCAAACTTTTGACCAAAATGTTGTTACATCCTGTGAACTTGGAAGTTCACCGGATAATTGAGTTTTGCTTGAATTAATTATATTTATTAATTATATTATTATTATTATTAATATTAAATAGTTGAAAAATTGGAAAAATCAAAAACAAGTCCTAAAATCGAAGACCTGACGAACATTTAAAAAATCAAAAATCGATGTCAATTAGAAAACATGTTTAGACATTTCGAATTTGCGTCAATTTGAATTTGACGCCAATGAGTTTTGTTGTGATTGGTCGGCACGACTGCAGAAATTAATGCATACTAGTTACACTGGGAGTTTTAATTTGTGCGGTTATGTTCGTTCTAGTTACACGTGTGTAAAGAAATATTTAATTCTTTCCGGTTTTAAGTGTGTTCCAATGGGCTTTGGGTAAAAAAATGCCAGTGTTCTTCCACAATGTGATACACCGGTTTTAGGTTTCCAGAGTATCAATTTTGAAATTTTGTGAAGCAATCGCATCGGGTGGGAGGTCTTTATGGAGAAACATACACACTCGTAAGCTATGCCCTTATTCTGCAACCTGTCTTTACCTTATGGCAAACCACGTGAGACGACACTGATTCTCCCTGGAATCATTTACTTGTGACAACGCCAAAATGGAAGCTTATTACTGTAAAGACTGTGATTTTAAAACGGAACTACCACTTGTGTTTAAACAACACATTAATGAACATGACGGCCCTAAGAGAGAATCTAGTGAGGAAACATCTAGTGAGGATTCCAGCAAAGAAAACTGCGTTGGCGGAAAATATTGCTTTGAGCCAAATCTGTCGTTAAGATCGTTTCAGCATACTTCAGTATGCACGGAAACGAAAGAAAATTCTCAAAGTGTGAGTTCTTTGGAAGAGAGTGCCACATGCAGTTCCGACTTCAAGCAAACTGCAGAAGCACATTGGTATTATTGTGCGGAATGTTCCTACAAAAGTAAAATCAAAAATTATTTAAAACTGCACATCGAAAATAGCCATTCGAACAAACGGTTTGCTTGCGACAAGTGTTCATATAAAAGTAGACGTAAAGCCGATTTGAAGATCCACATATAATAGAGTGCACTTAGATGAACAAGATGTTAAATGGTACAAGTGCCAAAAATGTTCCTTCAAGACCAGAAGGAAAGGTAATTTAAAAGAACACACAAACAGCTTACACTTAAACGACGAAGACGTTAAATGGTACGAATGCAATGATTGTTTTTTCAAAAGTAAGTATAAAAAAGTCTTAAACATACACCTACGTTTCAAACATCTCGATGCAGAAAAAATTAAATGGTACAAATGTGAAAATTGTCCATATAAAGCCAAACTTTCCTGGTGCTTAAAACGACATGTAAAGATCCATTTGAAGATCAAATCGTATCAGTGGGACTACTGTTCATTTAAGACGAAATACAATTATTGTTTAAAGCGTCATATAAATAATCGTCATAAGAATGGAACGGATGTTAAGGAGTAAGGCTTCTAATAAATTGAATGTTTATAGACCTAAATTTTTGTTTAGCCAATAATTTTTTTATCGTTTTTGTCAACACTGTATGATATGTTGCATTTTGTATCGATATTTTCGTCCACATTTTGAATAAAAAAAAATCAATTGATATTTTTTTTTGTGTTACGTACATTAAATAAATATCACAACGAGTGGTAAGCTGAAAAACGCTCATCTATTATTGTTGTCATTGAGCGATTCACTTTTTGAGATTATGTGTATCAGAAATATACGTTTGCAGACAAATTTTTAAATAATTACTTGTTTTCGTTGATTAACGATTAAATCTCCCTAATGACGTGACAAAAACAGAGGGAATAGATATCATCATCGCCTGCCCCATAGCAAATTGTTATTTATCAATATCATTTTTGATGTAAAAATATTAGGTTAGGGTCAATCTACGTGAAATCAACCAAGCATTAAAAGTTATTAAAAAATTAAATTAAAAAACAACATACAGAGTCGCTAAAAAGTATGGAACCACTTGAATATGACGAGAACCGTTTGTCCATTTTTTTGAAATTTGAGCTATACTTAGGAATACTCAAGTTCTATTGTCTGCAATTTTTTAGAATTTTATATATCATTTGTTTATGAGGTGCAGGGCTAACGTGTTTTTTTTTAATAGCACTAGTAGCAAATGTGACGTTTATAAATGGTGCATTTTTTTCTGAATTCAGAAATGTAACGCATGCATTATTTTATTTTTTCCCAACATCGCAGCGAGGTTTGACTATACTATCACCTGTCATAGTCCTGGCGCAGGACACTTTGTTAAAAAATTATACTAGTGCTCAATCATTGTAAAAATGATAGAACTGAGGGTATATAACCTGATACAAAGGTCCCAACGTAACAGATTGATTTAAATGCTGTTTCGAAATAATTTAATGACTAAATAGTGAATACATTGTTATTAAAGCTTTTTAAAAATTTAAATAAAAAATTACATTGTTGAAAAAATATCAACTTAACATTTAAAAAACAATAATTTTACATCAAATGTTCAAAATGTTCTTTGGAATATAGGGTAGTAAAATTTCTTACTTCTTGTTTTGGTGCGTTATATTATATCCGTGCTTTGAAAGCTCACACAGTTTAGTAGCAATGATGTAAACGTTAATGTGAAAACACACTTGACAAAAATCCACTTACTAATACGTAATTTATTCTGAAAACGATTTCTAAATTTCTGGATGATTTTTCCGAGATTATAATACACATTTCATAATTTCTCACTCGAGCTTTTAAAATAGTATATTGATTGAAATTAAAAGTAACTTTAAATATTGATGCACTTTGAAAATAATGATTAGAGAGCGGATTTCTAGGTTTAATGCTTTTTGTGAAAAATGTAAGCACTTCAAAACTTTTTTATATCTGTAACTATGATACAATGTGGAGTCATTTGACACATTTTTTTTATGCTTATTTGCTCTTTTTTTCAATTTTATGCATATTAAAACTTATATGCTTATTTAATGCTTTTTTCGACGAATATGAGTTTTAATGCATATTTTGTTCAAATGCCGGCCTTGTCGGGATGACAAATACTTGTTAGTTAGCCGTATCGTATCGTATGCATTTTACCTGGACTTGACCATTGAAGTACACTTACTCAAGACCCTTTCTGTGAATAGGTTCCGGTCGTTTGGGTAATAAAATTTTATTATAGGATTGGAAAAATACTCCATAGATTTTATGACTTTAAATCCTTACTTCCGTTGATAATGAATTAAAGCTTTTAACCAGATGTTCTTTTTCGGCATTTTGCGGCAAGACCGTTGAAGATTTTCTAGAAAAAAGGATTATTGAATCCAACTACCTACCTTAAAATTTTTCTAATGGAAACTTTTAAGTAAATGAACCGTTTATTTCACAACCATCAGTCTATCGCATCTGTCGTAGTACAGTGTTATACGTGGTTCTCCCTTGTTACATGTTGAGTTCTTTTTGGTAATATTACTAATATTTTAAAAGAATGCCGAAAGTAAAATCGACGCCGGATGAGTGGATAAGGGATTTTCCAGAATTAAAATTAGAAAACAACAAAATATTCTACAGAGCTTGTGTGAAAACTGTAAGCCCACTAATTTTTTTTTTATCTATTTTCCTTTGTTATATATGTACGTTGTTTTAGATTCAAAGTGATAAAAAATATAACGTGACGCAACATGTCAGAACGACTCTTCATGTAGAAAGGAAGAAAATGTTTGAAGTTTCTAAAATTAAACAGCGGACCATACATGAATCTGTTGCATCTACTTCCACAAAAGATGAGCAGTTTCAGTTTAATTTCGATTTTTGTAAAATGATGATCCAGTCCAATATACCTTTAAAAAAATTGGAGAAAGGCCCTCTTCAATAATTCCGTGAAAAACACTGCAATCGACATATTCCGGTTGAAAGTACTCTCCGAAAAAATTATGTAGGCCCAGTGTTTCAGCAAGTTTACAACGAAATTAAACATCGCATTGGAGATAATTATTTATGGTTCGCTGTCGATGAAACAACCAATAGTTGTGGAAGATACGTGGCAAGTTTAATTATTGGAATCTTAAATGAAAATTTCCCTAGTCGAGGGTATGTAGTAAGTTTGAAAATGTTAGATAAAACAAATGGCAATACGATTACCAGATTTGTAAATGACAGTCTTACGTCACTATTTTTGCCAAATGCCGTACCGGCGAATAAAATTTTATTGATGATCTCGGATGCAGCTCGTTAAATGTTGAAAGCAGGGAATAATCTGAAAATATTGTACCCCAATGAAATTCACTCTACTTGCATTGCCCACGGTTTAAACACAGTGGCTGAAGGAATACGTTTGCAGTTTCCTTCTGTTAATAAATTAGTGGCAAATGGTAAAAAGATTTTTGTTAAAGCCCCACTGAGAGTGCAACATTTTAAAGGAAAATATCCAAACATACCATTGCCCCCAGAGCCGATTATAACGAGGTGGGGAACATGGTTACAGGCCACATTTTGTTATGACAAATATTACAAAGAATTTGAGGAAGTAGTTGCGGAGTTTGGCGAATATTCTCTTCAATCGATTAAAGATTGCATAAATATTTTGGAAAACAAAGATTTGCGACAAGATCTAGCTTTTCTAAGAAGCAACTATCAATTCGTATGTGAGGTAATAAAAAAGTTAGAAAAACCCAACATGTTGTTGGTAGATGCCATAAACTTAGTGAAAGAATTTAAACAACAAGCAAACGCAGTAAGGGGTGATATTGGTACTAGAGTATCTCAAAAACTTGACGAAGTGTTAAATAAAAATGCAGGTTTCGGTGTTCTTTCCGACGTTGTTAGTGTTTTACAAGGCCAAAAGGTGGAAAATTTGGAGTTAGATTCAACATTAGTTGCAAAATTCAAATTTGCGCCAACAACGAGTGTGGATGTTGAACGCACATTCTCCAATTTCAAACACATTTTAAATGATCGACGAAAAAATTTTACAGTGGACAACTTGAAACATATTATAATCATAAATTGTTTTAAACAAAACTGAAATACGTGTGTAAAATATAAAGTCTAGGATTATTGTAATAATATTTTATCCAAAGTTCTAAGAAGTGTTCTTTGATTTGTACTATGATTATGTTTTTAATGCTTTTTTGCTTAAAATAAAACTTTTTTAATGAAAGTGTGATGCTTATTTAATGCTTTTTTGCTTACAATAAAACTTTTTTATTGAAAATGTTGTGCTTATTTAAGCGCTAATTCTTAATTTTTTTGTGCTTATAAATCCGCTCTCTAATAATGATCTTTGAAAATTAACATCATCGTGGATTATGTGTGATTGTTCTACAATCCAACTTTGAACATTACTTCTTGGTCACGTATGTACCAAAACCACCTTAGTTTGATTTATGCTGTATTTAATACGTGTTCGAAAAATTTTAAGTTGAAAACTCGAAAAACTAAATCAAAAAACTGAAAACCCTTTAAAAATTCAAAAATCGGTAGCAAAAAAATTTGAATTTTCGTCAGTTTACATCGACGCTAATCTGCTTTGTTGGGATTGGTAGGTGAAAGTAGGGAAATTAATGTTATCTCGTTGCACTGGAGGTTTTAGTTTGTGCGGTTAGGTCGTCCAAACTGCACGTGTGCGAAGAAAATTTTAATCATTTTCGCTTTTAACTGTGCTTGGAGTAAGAAGGTGCCAGTGTTTTTCCATAGTGTGATAAAACTATTTTAGGTGGACAACATGTCAACTTTAGAATACTGTGAAGCAATCGCAACACGTGAGAGATCGTTATGGAAAAGCGTTCACAATTGCAAAGTATGCTCCTATTCTACAACTTCATTTTTCTTGATAGTCAACCACGTGAGACGACACCGTTCATCTCTGGAGGAATTTACTTGCGACAACGCCAAAATTGAAACCTATTACTGCAAAGACTGCGATTTTAAAACAGAACTAACAATTTTGTTCAAACAACACATTTATAAACAGCACGGCCTTAAGAGAGAATGTGAAAAGGATGTATCGAGTGAGGATTTCCGCATACAAAACTACGTTTGCGAAAAATGCGACTTTCAAACAAATCTCTCGTTAAAGTTGCTTCAGCACACTTTAACATGTACGAGAAATAAAGAAAATCTTCAAAATGTGAATTTTTCAAAAGAGAGTATCACAAACAATTCCGACTTTAAGCAAATTGACGACATACATTGGTATTACTGCGCTGAATGTTCCTACAAAACTAAATTAAAAAAATATTTAAAACGTCACATTAAAAATAGTCATGCGAACAAACAGTATGCATGCGACAAGTGTCTATTTAAGACAAGACGTAAAGCCGATTTAAAAATCCACATAAACCGAGTCCATTTAGATGAACAAGATGTTGAATGGCACAAGTGCCAAAAATGTTCCTTCAAAACCAGAACAAAAAGTTATTTAAAACAACACATAAACAACTTACACTTGAACGACGAGGACGCTAAATGGTACAAATGCAACGAGTGTTCTTTCAGAACTAAGCATAAAACATCTTTAAAAACACACGTAACTGTAAAACATCTAGACGAAGAAAAAATTAGGTGGTACGAATGTGAAAATTGTCCATATAAGGCTAAGCGTTTGAACTGTTTAAAGAATCATGTGATTTTTCAGCATTTGGATGAAGAAAAAGTTAAGTGGTACAAATGTGCGAACTGTTCATTTAAAAGTAAAACAAGAACTAATTTGCAAAGGCATGTAAACATCCATTTGAGGATCACATCGTATTCTTGCGATTATTGTCGATATAAGACGAAACGCAAGGATAATTTAAAGCGTCATGTAATTGCCCACCATTTAGTTCGAACCGAAGTTAAGTGATGCAAAGTGTCCTTAAAAACTTTAAAGTGAACCATATTTTTATAAACACGGAGGAAACGATGTGTGGAATTTGTTTTAGGTTTAGTTAGGAGTGCCAGTGTTACGTTGAATGTATATACATCAGTTTTTTGTTTAGTTAGTGTTTTTTAAGCAGTGTTAATGTGATATATATGTTATATTTTTTGACACGTTTCATTATGATTATGAATAAAAAATAATTTAATTTTCAATATTTTTATCTTATAAATCGAAAATATAGTACAGTAGTAAAGGCAGTTTCTTAACAAAAAAATAGCCGATTTTTTAACAACACTAGTTCTGGATGATTTCCGCAAGTTTCGATTCACGTTTCTAACTTCTCATCCGAGTTTATTATTTTATAAATGAAAATTAAATGTAAACATTGTTCAAGCTCAAAATTGAAAAACTTAAAGTTGAAACTTGGAGAAATTGCCACAAATACCTACTTTAAATAAAAATGGAATAGTTGAAAAATCGGAAAAATCAAAAACAAATCGTAAAATCTAAGACCTGACGAATATTAAAAAAACAAAAATCGGTGTCAATTAGAAAACATGCTTAGACCTTGCGAATTTGCGCCAATTTGAATTTGACGCCAATGTATTTTGTCGTGATTGGTCGGCACGATTGCGGAAATTAATGTATAGGTATTAGTTGCACTGGGAGTTTTAATTTGTGCGGTTATGTTTGTTCTGGTTACAAATGTGTAAAGAAATATTTAATTCTTTCCGGTTTTAACTGCGTTCCAACGGACTTTGGGTAAGAAAAATATCAATATTCTTCCACAATGTGATAAACCGGTTTTAGATGGCCAGAGTATTAACTTTGGAATATTGTGAAACAATCACAACAGGTGGGAGGTCTTTATACAAAAACGTACACACTTGTAAACTATGCCCTTATTCTTCAACCTCTTTTTTCCTTATGGCGAACCACGTGAAACGACACTGATTCTCTCTGGAAACACTTACTTGTGACAACGCCAAAATGGAAGCTTATCACTGTAAAGACTGTGATTTTACGACGCAACTGACACTTGTGTTTAAACAACACATTAATAAACATCACGGCCCTAAGAGAGAATCTAGAGAGGAAACATCTAGTGAGAAAACATCTAGTGAGGAATCATTTAGTGAGGAATCATCTAGTGAGGATTCCAGCATAGAAAACTACGGGTGCGCAATATATTACTTTGAGCCAAATCTATCGTTGAAGTCGTTTCAGCATACTTCAGCATCCACGGGAACCGAAGAAAATCTTCCAAGTGTGAGTTCCTTGAAAGATAATGCCACAGACAATTCCGACATCAAGCAAACTGACGAAATACTGTATTATTGTGCCGAATGTCCCTACCAATGTAAAGCCAAAGTATATTTAAATAAGCACATTAAGGCTTTCCATTCCCACAGTTGGTATGCATGCGACAAGTGTCCATTTAAAAGCAGATGGGAAGGAAATTTAAGACGCCACATAAATACACTCCACTTAGATGAACATGAAGTTAAATGGTACAACTGCCAAAAATGTCCATTCAAGACCAAAACAAAATCGAATTTAAAACAACACATAATTGCCAGACATTTAGACGACACAAAAATTAAGTGGTACGAATGTCAAAACTGTTCCTACAGAGCCAAAACGGCGAAATATTTAAGAAATCATATAATTTATAATCATTTGGATGATGAAGAAATTAAGTGGTACCACTGCAAAAGTTGTTCATTCAAAGCTAAAAGAAAAGATAATTTAAAAAAACATGTAAAGATCCATTTGAAGATCAAATAGTATTCGTACGATTATTGTTTATGTTATGCAATCAACATTCAAAGCGTCATATAAATAAGCGCCATTTGGAAGGAACTGTAGGTAAATTCTACGATTTGCTTTTATAAAATTAAAAGTTGACCATCTTTTTATGAACAGGAAACACACGTGTGGGATTTAGTTGAGGTCTAGTTAGCTGTCGTAGTATTACGATGAATGTATATACATCTATTTTTTGTTAGTTCGTTTTTTCTAGCATTTGTGTCAGACTCTGTCACGTCTTATATTTTGTGACTATATTTTTATTAAGATTATGATTAGAAATATTTTAAATGTTTTTTTACATTACATTAGTACATAAAATATTGTGGTGTCCTAATTTGAATTAAGTTCGCGCTGAAAAAAAAATTGAATTTGAAAATGAATTAAGAAAACCGTTAAACATAGGCAACCACGTGCAACTTTAGTTTCTTTGCTGGCGGTTTAGTAGCTCATACAGGGAATTTGTGGTTAGTAAAGCAGACTTTCTTTGGTGAAGATGCGTGACTTGTTTGTCTGGTGTAGGTTCAACCACACGGTAACCATTAATGTTACCTAGGTTAAGTTTATTTGGTTTGGTAATTTCATACTATAGCCTTTGTTTAAACGAAACCTAATCATACCGACGACAATGCCACAGTTTTCCACACAAGCGTAAGTGATTATAAATATCTTTCTAGTCGGACATGTATGAATTATTGACCATGTTGATAACACGTGGTGTAAATTTTTTGATTACTATAAATTCACCGTTCATGTTAGGATTTTACGTTACACACCACTTGAAATGACAACTGACAAGTGAAGCTGTCATTTGTTTTCATTTATATTGTTGTATGAATGTCGTAATCTAATGTGTGACTAATAATAAAAGTAACTGTTCTGTGATAACACTTATAATTTAGTTTTTTTGTAGTACAATTTTCTAAAATTTAATAAAATGCATTGATTAAATGTAAAATGTGACGCTAGGTGTTAGTACATTTTTTGTCCAGTGAGTGGCAACACTGGTGATGACTGGTGACTGATGACTGATGAGCGTCTGTGAGGGAATGAGAGTGAGAGTGGCACTTGATTGTTGACTTTTTCGACTTTTTCACTACTCGTCCGTCCACAAATGACGCAACACAGAAATGGAAAAATTATAGAATCGCTCAAAATCGTCAACTGGCGCCGACATAGAAAAAACAACGCCAATCTTGGGCGCCAAGTTGCCAAAATGGCGATAAATCGCCAAATCTGGGCACCCTGGTGTGTTATGCATGGTAATATTTATTATAGATATGAACTTGAGTGAGGAGAATAATAATATTAATAATAATAATCATCATCATCATCATCGTTGTATATTAATAGTACATGCTAGGAGTTCGTAAAGTAAAACGCAAGATGCATGTAATTTTTAGCACATTTATTAAAAACAGTTTTTTTACCTCACATAATTATAGCGATTATCATAGAATAAATTAACAAACATCTCACATCTTAGTGAAAATGTCTGTCAAACCGACACTTTAACAGAATTTTTCACTAACTTTGGCACCGGTTTTAATAATAATAATAATGTTTAATTTAATTTAATAAAACAATTAACAAAAATGAACACAGGACACAGTCGCTTGCAAAAAATTTCAGGCAAGATGAGCAAATCTTCTCGTAGATCAATGAAAAGGGATGGGAATATGGCTTTCATGTTAATGTCATTGGCCCGAAATTTTTTGGAAACGACGGTATGTATACATAAATGAGTAATCACTAAAAAAGTTATTTTATAATAAAAGAAGGATTAATTATTATTAACTGATAACAGTGTTTAATTTGTCAACAGTTTCATATTATTTATATTATTGCTGAATTTCTTATGAGCGAGATATTTGCAGGCTACAAAATCTTTGTACAATAGTGTAGGCTTTGTCCGTGTCAACAAAAAAATAGATTTTTTAAAAAATTTTCAAATTGTCCATCAAAACGGCATCATCGTAAATTTCGTGGTTTCGAACACTTGAATAGCCTCCAGCCAAAACTGGTAATGAATGGAATTTTTGGTAACTGCACATCAGAATTTCTCGCTTTTATCAGAATGCAGGCAACTCGCATTCAGGCTGTCGAATACCTGATCAATAAACAAAACAAACTTTGCGGTTTCGGTAGCCTACTCAGGCATTTCTTGGGGAGCTAAAAAATTACATAAAATTAGAAAAATAATATTATTATTACAATTACCATACCTGTACGAACTGGTAATTTTATCCCAGCAGCCACACGTGAACTTAAAGTTTGCGCTGCAATACCCTCTTTCTTTTTTTTCTTATTTATTAATGTGAGCCTCTGTTAATTTATGGAAAAGACGGTGGTCTTCATCCTTAAAATTTACATATAACTTAATATTATCATTTTTGGGGATTTAAGAAATGTACTAGATACACGAATTATAACTTTTTTTCTAAAAAAATAAATCTATATATATTATATATAGTTTTATCTGTTCACGCCTGACAATTTTTGCATAGGTCGTGGGCAACATACTCGTATTATACACCCCAGCGACGACTTCTTCCAATTTATTTTTGTTTTAATAGTCAATCAGTAATCACAGAAAAAAATCACAGAGGTGTCAATGCCAAATAATGACAAAATTGAAAAAATTAATACTCAATTTATTAATGCATCAGATTACAAGGAAAACCAATTTATAATAAATGTTTAAAATGCCTGCCTCCACTATCTTCACAAAGTCCTATCCTACGTTCAAGATGTCTACGAACCCTATCTAACATGTCGGGAGTTATAGATCTGTATGACGCTATTATCCTTTCACGTAAGTGATTTTCATTTTCGATTGGGATACTATAAACGTCAATTTTCACCTTCCCCCAAAGAAAAAAATCTAATGGCTTTAGATCAAGGCTCCGTGCAGGCCAAGCGTACTCTTCTCTTGGTCCAAACGCTCTGTATAAATAGTTCCTAACCTCTCTGATAATGAGCGGGAGCGCCATCATTTCGAAACCAAATTATTCTTCGTATGTCTAGCTCTACGTTTTCCAACAGGTCAGGTAAAATATGCTTTATAAAATTTAGATACATAGGTCCGTTTAAATTTCCTTTAAAAAAATGTGGATCATTGACGTGGTTACCAACAATTCCACACCAAGCATTAACTTTGAAAACTACTTGGGAGTGCTTTTCCTGTTACCACTGGGGATTTTGCTGGGCATAGTAATAAGTGTCTATTTACACACCCGTTATTGGTAAATGTGGCTTCATCCGTAAACAAAACGTTAAATAAAAAATCTTGATTGTCTCGTAATTACACGCTTACGAATTCACAAAACACTAACCGTCGGATAAAATATCGTTCTATTAAATATTGGACAGTTGTCACATGGTATGGATGAAATCGGTTGGCCTTTAAGATGTTGAAAACCGAACCCAAACTAAACTACATTTGTCTTACAATCTGTCTTTGACTCACGTGGAGATTTCTGCTACAATTTCAATTAGGGCAGCTTCATTATCCGGCGTTGTTACAGTTCGATTTCTAACTTTATTTTTTTTAATTGCCTAAATGCTCGTAATTTTTTTTTCAAGTTTTCTAAACGCTTGATTTGAGGGAATTCTTCTAAGTATTGGGATATTGCCTGGCGTAGAAACGAACAGCAGCATCAAAATTTTTATCACACTTTTCCAATATTAATAGAGTGTCTGCAAACGAAAATTGAAAATATTTCGCTGAAAAAATAATTTGTAAGAATTTTGGTTCTGATCATTGATATCTATGCGTTCATTAATATTTGCGTATGCAGAAATATTCAGCCGTGGACAAATAAAATGAACACCCTGTATATGTTATATTTTTTGACACTTTTCATTAAGATTATGAATAAAACATAATTTAATTTTCGTTGTTTTTACCTCATAAACAAATAATACATATGTAAGATAAATTTCACAGGAATCACTCCAGTACTTTCAGAGATGATCTGTACTGTATACAATAAAATGAACCAATTTTTTCAACATAGTTCCTAGGATATGAAACTATAGGTCTTCCGTTTCCGTGTGAAAAGAAAAATTTTTTACAAATTCCACAAAAATCAAATTTGTCAATTGTGTTGACAATTATATTTACAATGTAAACAACATCGAAAAAATGTCATCAATTTTGTGCTTGTATTATGAAAACAGTGTTAATTGATAACATAATAATAAAGGAGGACGAAAATCATTGTGAGAGTATCCCCCAGTCAGGAAAATTCAATTTTCTCGCGCCTAGATCCGCAGGGAAAAGTTGTTTGTCTGACGATTTACGGAAAAAATAATTTCCTCTCTATATTCTACACTTGAACGCATTCCTCTATAAAATAAACACACAACGTAGGGTCCACTTGTTGACGATGACAGTTCAAATCCAGATTTTGAAATACTATATACCAATTAACTATTTCGGAAAGAAAGAACTTTCAAAATTATTATATGTTGTATCACAAACGTATTTCTGTCAATTTGTATCAAAACGGGCTAAAACCATGAATTAAGGCGAAATTAAAAAAATTAAAATTGAAACCTCGAAAAAGTGCAGAAAATATCACAAATAAAAATGGAATAGTTGAAAAATCGTCAAATCGAAAAACCGAAGAACAGGCAAATTTAAATTTGACGCCAACGTGCTTTATTGCGATTAGTCGGCATGAATGCGGAAATTAATATAATCTATTTAGACTGGCGAATCTAATCCGTGAGGTTATGTTCGGCAGAATTGCACGTGCGGGAAGAAAATTTTACTCTTGTTCCCTATTAACTGTGCTCCAACAAGTTTTGGGTAAGAAAAGTGCCAGTTCTCTTCCATTGTGTGATGAAATGACTTTAGGTGGACAACATGTCAACTCTGGAATACTGTCAAGGAATCACAACACGTTGGAGATCTTCATGGCAAAACGTTCACAACTGTAAACTATGTCCCTATTTTACAACTTCGCTTTTCTTTATGGTGAACCACGTGAGACGACACCGTTCATCTCTGGAGGAATTTACTTGCGACAACGCCAAAATTGAAGCTTATTATTGTAAAGACTGTGATTATAAGACGGAACTAACACTTTTGTTCAAACAACACATTTATAAACATCACGGCCTTAAGAGAGAATCTGAAAAGGTTTTTTCAAGTGAGGATTTCCGCATACAAACCTACGTTTGCCAACAATGCGACTTTGAAACAAATCTCTCGTTGAACTGGCTTCAGCACACTTTCACTTGCACGAGAAATAAAGAAAATCTTCAAAATGTGAACTTTGCAAAAGAAAAGATTACAAACAATTCCGACTTTAAGCAATCTGACGAAATGCCTTGGTGTTATTGTACTGAATGTTCCTATAAAACTAAACTCCAAAAATATTTGAAACGTCACATTAAAAATACCCATTCGAACAAACGGTATGCATGCGATAAGTGTCAATATAAAACTAGACGTAAAGCAAATTTAAGACTCCATATAAATAGTCTCCACATAGATGAGGACGATATTGAATGGCACAAGTGCCAAAAATGTCCATTCAAGACCAAAGCTAAAGCTAATTTAAAGAAACACATAAAAAACTTACACTTGAAGGACGAAGACGTTAAATGGTACAAATGCAATGTGTGTTCTTTCAAAACTAAGCACAAAAAATCCTTAAACGTACACGTAGGAATAAAACATCTAGATGAAGAAAAAATTAAATGGTATGAATGTGCAAATTGTCCATACAGAGCTAAACTACCGTCGCATTTAAGAAATCATGTGATTTTTCAACATTTGGATCAAGAAAAAATTAAGTGGTACGACTGTGCGAACTGTCCATACAGAAGTAAAGCAAAATCTAATTTAAGAAGGCATGTAAAAATCCATTTGGATATCAAATCGTATTAGTGCTTCTATTGTTCATATAAGACGAAACGCAGTAATCTTTTAAAGCGTCATAAAATGGCCACCATGTGGATGGAACGGATCTTAAGTAGTACAAATGCGAACATTGTCCTTACAAAAGTCAAAGTAGATAATCGTTTTATAAACACATAAAAAGCGCTGTAGCATTTAGTTGATTATAAGCGGGGTATGCCCATATTTAGTTGAATGTAGTAATACGTGTATGTTTTCTTTAGCCACTCTATGATGTGCTATAATTTGTGAGTTCTTTTGATTAAGATATTAAATAAAAACTAATTGAATGTTTAATTTTTCACATTACATACTTTTAATAAATACTTAACGCGTTTTTAAAATAAAACACACAATATGCAAAACAAAAGGTTCAAGAAGTACTGAAGACAGTAAAGTGAAAAACGGAATGAGCACACCTGTTCATTGTTTCCTTGTTGACCTTCCATGTTTATTGCTGTCAATCATAAGAATTAAAAAATTTGAAGTTGATGAGACTTAAGAATCTAAAATCAAATAATTACAAAAAAATTATCAAAAACAAAAAATGAAGTAGTTGAAAACTTGGTAAAATTAGAAAACTGAGAAATCGAAAATCGAAAAACTGAAGAAAATTTAAAAGACCAAAAATCGATGCCATTTAGAAACCGTGGTTAGACCATTGAAACTCGCGCCAATTTGAATTGAAGCAATGTGCTTTGTTGTGATTGGTCGACACGGTTGTGGAAATTAATGTAATGAAGTTGAATTGCGAATTTTAATTTGTGCGGTTATGTTCGTTCAGGTTGCACGTGTGTAAAGAAATATATAACCCTTTCCGGTTTTAACTGTTCTCCAACCAGATTTAGGTAAGAAAAATGCCAGTATTCTTCCACAGTGCGATAAAACGGTTTAAGGTGACTTTGAAATACTATGAATGAAGTAATCACAACAACTGGGAGGTCTTCATGGAAAAACGTACGCACCTGTGCCATTCCTTTTCAACTTTGCTTTTCCTTATGGCGAACCACATGAGACGACACTGATTCTCCCTGGAAACATTTACTTGTGACAACGCCAAAATGGAAGCTTATCACTGTAAAAACTGTGATTTTAAGACTAATCTGACACTTGTGTTTAAACAACACATTAATACACATGACGGCCCTAAGAGAGAATCTAGTGAGAAAACATCTAGTGAGGAATCATTTAGTGAGGAATCATCGAGTGAGGATTCCAGCATAGAAAACTACGGTTGCGCAATATATTACTTTGAGCCAAATCTGTCGTTAAAGTCGTTTCAGCATACTTCAGCATGCACGGAAACGAAAGAAAGTCTTCAAAGTATGAGTTCTTTGAAAAAGAGTGCCACAAACAATTCCGACTTCGAACAAACTGACGAAATGCTCTATTCTTGTGCTGAATGTTCATATAAATGTAAATTCAAAAGATATTTAAATCGTCACATTAAGGCTTTCCATTCAGACAAGTCGTATGCATGCGACGAGTGTACATTTACAAGCAAATGGAAAGAAAGTTTAAAAGTCCACATAAATAGAATCCACCTAGATGAACAAGATGTTGAATGGCACAAGTGCAATGAGTGTTCTTTCAAAACTAAGCTTGAAGCACCTTTAAAAAGACACGTAAATGACAAGCATCTAGACGACACAAAAGTTAAGTGGTACAATTGTCACAATTGTTCCTACAGAACCAAACGAGCGTGGAACTTAAAAAGTCATGCAATGTATAAACATTTGAATGATGAGGAAATTAAGTGGCACAAATGTGGAGACTGTTCATTCAAAGCTAAAACAAAAAGTAAATTAATAAGGCATGTAAAGGTCCATTCGAATATCAGATAGTATCCGTGTGATTATTTCTCATATAACGCAGTGAATATTTAACGCGTCATATAAGTAAATAACCATTTGAATGAATTAAGTTAAATGGTACCAACTGTCCTTACTGAATTAAAAGTGGACCATATATTTATGAACAGGAAAAACACGTGTGGGTTTTAGTTATAGTTTAGTTGAGTGTAGTACTATAATTTTGAATGTATGTATATTTATTTTTTGTTAGTTCGTTTGTTTTTTTTTTTCTAGCATTTGTGTAATGTGTGATATTTTGTGGCTACATTTTTATTAAGATTGTGATTAGAAAAATTTAAATATTTTTTTACACCTACATACATGGGTAGGTACATAAAATACTGTGGTGTCCTAATTTGAATTAAAAATTCCCTTTTGAATACGTTTAATTTGAAAAATGAATTATGAAAATCGTTAAACATAGACAACCATGTGCAACTTTAGGGAATTTGTAAATCAGGCCTGTTTGTTGATTGCTATAAATTCACCGTTCATGTTAGGATTTTTAACCGTTCCTGATTTTAACACAGTTTAGCAGTCATTAAAATTGTTGTTTTTTTTTCACGCAATCTGTCGAAATTATACATTTTATTTTTCTTGTACGACCGAAGAAATAAGCAACTATTCTATTATTCGTTTAAGGGGATAGACGGTTTTTCGTCCTTAAATATTAGATATTTAAATTTAATAGCTTCTCATTTGGAAGTTTTAAAATAGTATTTGGCATTATTCATTATTTTTAAGCATTGGTTTAATAATAATAATAAATAAATTTATTTCCAACAGGTTCTATACCCCTTTACAGGAAATAATAAAATTAAACTATGTATGACTGAGATAGTACCTTAGCTATTTGGAAACTATTATAAAATAAAAAAAAAATAAATTAAAAATAAAGAGAAACAGGTCTAAATTGCACAAAAATTAAATGAGACTTCTTAATTTTAAAGACGAAATTCTTCAATAACAGCACAGCTTAACAAATTCGCCTTGTCAAAATTAAGATCAAACTTCCTACATGTTTGGTTAAAGTAATTACACATTAAAGATATACATAACATTGACTTTATTGAACGAACTATAAAAAATATAAACGTGGCGTGTGCCCTGACGCGGAATAGCAAAATTTAATTCTTTTAAAAGTGATGAACAGTTAATTTTATAGTTAATTAAATTACATATAAATCGGACTAGCAATATTATTCTTCTTGTATTCAACGAGTTAATATTAAACCTAGAAAGTAAAGTCCCAGGATCAAAGCCTCTTACACGGTACGAGCTGTCTAAGAGTAATCACATAAATTTTAAAAATGATCTTTGAACTGATTCAATAAGTACAATATGTATTTTGTATATAGGAAACCAAATAATTGCTCCATACTCTAACCTTGATGTAACTAAAGAAAAAACAACAGAAAGAAAGTATTTATATCAGAAAAATCCCGACAATTTCTATATATAAACCCACAGGTTCTGAAAGCTTTTTTAATCATATCTCGTATGTGTCCAACAAAAGTAAACTGATTATATCAAACAAAATTCCGAGGTCTTTGATACACTCTAAGCGATTTCTATTTACAACATTACATTTAGAGACATTTAGCGACAGTCGATTCAAGTTGCACCATTTCAAAACTGCATAAAGGTTATCTTGTAGAGCTCCACCGTCCTCTGTGCATTTAACTTCAGTGTACAATTTATAATCATCGGCAAATAAGAGACTTTCACAAGTAACAACTTCTGGCAATCGTTGATAAACAGCAAAAAATGGAGAGCTCCTAAATTGGACCCCTGGAGTACTCCCGAAGATGGCGAAAAAGTCGAAGAAGTATAGTTGCGATATCTCACATACTGTTGTCTACCAAGCAAATTCAACTTTAACAGAGCTAGTAGTTCCGGTGAAAAACCCAAGGCATTTAACTTGTTAAGCAAAACAAAACGATGAATCTGATTGATCAAAGGCTTTTTGGAAGTCCGTGTCAACTTGACTGTTATTGTCAATAGTTTTAGACACAAATTGTGATAGGCAGGCTAAATTGGAGATTATGGATCTTTTCTGTACGAAGCCGTGTTGAATTGGAGTGATCAAATTATTTATTACATTATATTTAATAAACTCGAAAACCTTAGCAAAATTAGATATTAAACAAACTGTCCTGTAATTGTCTACATTGGCTTTGTCACCCTTTTTAAAGATTGGACAAATAGCAGCATTTTTCCATTGAGTTGGAACCGAAGTATTAAATTGAAAAGCAAATGTAACGGCTTAACAAGAACCGATGCACAGTCTGTCAAGAAGAAGCTTGGAATGCCGTCAGGCCTAGATGTCGTAGCATTTTTACAGGACTTTAATGCTCCTAATATCTCATCTTCCAATATGTATGAGATGGTTAGGTTCAAATTTTTAACTAAGTGTAAAGTAGATGGTAAGTTGTTAGGGTCTGATTGCATATACACGCTACTAAAATATTCGCCAAAGGCATTCACTATAGACTGCGGTGATTCCAACTTAACATTATTGAACTCCATTGAGCCAGGAATCCTAGGTGTACCTTTCTTGTACTCAATAAATGACCAAATTTTGTTTTGGGTCACTTGAGATACCAAGTTCCATATTTGAGATATACTTTCTACAGGCGGTAGCCATGAGAGTTTTAATTTTAACTCGATGATAGCTAAAGAGTTGATAATAATTTTGCGTTTTGAATTTTTTGTATTGCTTTAAAATTTTGTTTTTAGTATGAAGACCTCTAATAATTTCTGTAGTAAATCTGGGCGGATAGTAAGCCTTCCGAGATCGGTTAACTTGCAGTTTAGGAACACTTGCGTTAAAAGCTTGATGTAGCAAATTTTGAAAAATAGAGTACGAAGTTTCAACATCATCACTCGAGCCAGAACTCGACCAGTCAGTGGAAGGTATTAAACTATACAATAAAGGGAAGTTGGCTGTCCTAGAATTATAAATTTTTTCGTTATGGTTCATGCAAAAATTAGTGGACTTAGTGGGAATTATATTAAGTTTAATAAACAAGGTAGGATGATGCGGATCTTCATCTACTATAGGAGTCAAAGATTTCTCTATCTGATTGTTAAAATTGGCAAAGACCAAGTCTAATAAGCGACTAAGATGATTTGGTATATTGTTGTTTTGAATAACGTCCTGAAATTCCTTGAAATTATTTATTATATTGCCAAATCTGTTTGGTGCAGATGTATTGAATGAAGGCGTATTAAAGTCACCTAGTATCAGTACTTTGTCATCCCCAAAAATTTTCAACGAACCTAGAAGTTCAAAGAATAAGTTGAAGTCATCGAAAGAAGTTGAAGGCGGATTATATACATAAGTAAAACATACAACTTCACAAAATTAGTACCTTGTAGGTTAGCACCCACTACATCTATCGTTGGTAACATTTCATTAAAAATAGACAAGTCCAATTTAGTTGTCGGTGGTGTACCTTTGAAAGCTAGCGCTACACCACCTCCCGTACTAACCTTGGAACCTTCAGTTATTCGATCTTTGCGAAATACTACGTAGTTATGCGAAAAAAGTTCAGAGTCGCTGATGTTGTTTTTTAGCCATTATTCAGTTATTGCTATTATGTCAAAATTTGCAGAAGAAATCGCATTGAAAAAATCGACTATCTCAAACCACGAACATTTTGATAAATAAAATTAAGGGATTTATAACTGGGTGTTGAAGCTAGTTTAAATGAACAATTTTTGGAATGCTGCTTATAAAGTTCGCGCTGTTTAATCGTGCTATCTGGTTCCAAAGATATATTATTGAAGCTTGCATTATTTTTTAGAATTCAGTTGTTACGAATAAATTTAACGATTTCAGATTCATCAGCTAAAATAATTTTAATTGGTCTGCTATGAGCAGCTTCTCGTGTATGTTGACCTAAACGATAAACTCTTAGATCCTGCGGAACTATAAAGTCTTGTCTAACCGCTTTTAACACGTTAGAAACCCCTGCACAGTCACTTTCCATCCTTGGAATGCCATCCGTTTGTTCAGGAACACCATATACGATTAAGTTTTTGCCCCTCTTTTGTCGTTCGTAAACTTCCTGGACTACATCTTCAAACTGCTGAGATGACTGCTGCAACTGTTGATTGTTGATAGAATCTCTAAGAGCATTTATTTGAGTTTCGCAATCGGGACACGTCACGAGTCACCCTCGCACGCAGCTTTTTTTTCTTTTTTTGTCAATGGAGGAATAAATAATTTTGTGTCCTCCATAAATTTTGTGATTTATTTAGCTATACTTTTCCCGCCATTTTTCAAAAACACAACTTAGGGTTTCATTTTGTCAGACGATCACAGGCAAGGCCAAATTTTGAATTTTTGAATTTTTCGCCAGCTTTTCTTTTTTTTCACATGTCAATTTAAGGCGAAATGTTTGGGTTATCACAAAATGTCTACGTTTTGGTGATTAGCCGTAGGTATAGCCATGTGTTGAAAGGTCGTGTTAGATTTGGTTTTTTGCAATTTCTTTTTTATAAACCCCGTCAGCAGCTTGTTTAATTACTGTAAAGGCAGTTTATTAACAAAAAAAATAGCCGATTATTTAACAACACTAGTTCTGGATCATTTCCATAAGTTATGATTCACGTTTGTAACTTCTCACTCTCACCCGAGTTTGTTATTTTATAAATAAAAACTAAATCTAAACATTTTCCAAGCTCAAAATTGAAAAATTGAAAGTTGAAACTTGGAAAAATCGGAACAAATTTCAAAATTAAAAATGGAATAGTTGAAAAATCGGAAAAATCAAAAACAGATCGTAAAATCGAAGACCTGACGAACATTTAAAAAACAAAAAATCGGTGTCAATTAGAAAATATGCTTAGATATTTCGAATTTGCACCAATTTGAATTTGACGCCAATGTGTTTTGTTGTGATTGGTCGGCACGATTGCAGAAATTAATGTATACCAGTTGCACTGGGAGGTTTAATTTGTACGGTTATGTATGTTCTAGTTACACGTGCGTAAAGAACTTTTTAATTCTTTCCTGGTTTAACTGTGTTCCGACGGGCTTTGGGTAAGAAAAATGCCAGTATCCTTCAAGAGTGTGATAACACGGTTTTAGATGCCCAGAGTTTTAACTTTGGAATAATGTGAAGCAATCGCTGACAGGTGGGAGGTCTTTATCGTAAAACATACACACTTGCAAACTATGCCCTTATTCTTTGACCTGCTTTTTCCTTATGGCAAACCACGTGTGACGCACTGATTCTCCCTGGAGACATTTACTTGTGACAACGCCAAAATGGAAGCTCATCACTGTACAGATTGTGATTTTAGGACGGAACTGCCACTTGTGCTTAAACAACACATTAATAAACATCACGGCCCTAAGAGAGATTCTAGTGAAGAAACATCTAGTGAGGAAACATCTAGCATAGAAAACTACAGTTCCGCCATATATTACTTTGAGCCAAACCTGTCGTTAAAGTCGTTTCAGCATACTTCAACATGCACAGAAACTAAAGAAAATCTTCAAAGTGTGAATTCCTTGAAAGAGAGTGCCACATACAATTCCGACATCAAGCAAACTGACGAAATACTGTATTATTGTGCCGAATGTCCCTACAAATGTAAAGCCAAAGGATATTTAAATAAACACATTAAGGCTTTCCATTCGCACCGTTGGTATGCATGCGACAAGTGTCCATATAAAAGTAGATGGACAGGAAATCTAAAAGTCCACATAAATACAGTCCACTTAGATGAACATGAAGTTAAATGGTACAAGTGCCAAAAGTGTCCATTCAAGACCAAAACAAAATCGAATTTAAACCAACACATAATTGCGAGACATTTAGACGACGCAAAAATTAAGTGGTACGAATGTCAAAACTGTTCGTACAGAGCCAAAACGGCGAAAGATTTAAGAAGTCATACAATTTATAATCATTTGGATGATGAAGAAATTAAGTGGTACCACTGCGAAAGCTGTTCATTCAAAGCTAAAACAAAAAGTGATTTAAGACGGCATGTTAAAATTCATTTGAAAAGCAAATAGTATCCGTGCGATTATTGCACATGTAACGCAGTCGACATTCAAAACGTCATATAAATAAGCGCCATTTGAAAGGAACTGTAGTTAAATTCTACCATTTGCTTTTACAAAATTAAAAGTTGACCATCTTTTTATGAACAGGAAACACACGTGTAGGATTTCGTTGAGGTTTAGTTAGGTATCGTAGTATTACGATGAATACATCTATTTTTTGTTAGTTCGTTTTTTTTTTAGCATTTGTGTCAGACTCTGTCACGTCCTATATTTTGTGACTATATGTTTATTAAGATATGATTAGAAATATTTTGAATGTTTTTTACATTACATAAGTATATAAAATAATGTGGTGTCCTAATTTGAATTAAGTTCGTGCTGAAAAAAAAAATTTAATTTGAAAATGAATTAAGAAAATCGTTAAACATAGGCAACCATGTGCAACTTTAGTTTCCTTGCTGGCGGTTTAGTAGCTCGTTCAGGAAATTTGTGGGTAGCAAAGCAGACTTTGTTTGGTGATGATGCGTGACTTCTTTGTCTGGTCTAGGTGCAACCACACGGTAACCATTAATGTTACCTAAGTTAAGTTTATTTTGTTTGGTAATTTCATACAATAGCGTTTGTTTAAACGAAACCTAATCATACCGACGACGAGGCCACAGTTTTCCCCACAAGCGTAAGTGATTATAAATGTCTTTCTAGTCGGAAATGTATGAATTATTGACCATGTTGTTAACACGTGGTGTAAATTTTTTGATTACTATAAATTCACCGTTCATGTTAGGATTTTACGGTACACACCTCTTGAAATGACAACTGACAAGTGAAGTTGTCATTTGTTTTCATTTATATTGTTGTATGAATGTCGTAATCTAATGTGTGACTAATAATAAAAGTAACTGTTCTGTGATAACACTTATAATTTAGTTTTTTGTAGTACAATTTTCTAAAATGTAATAAAATGTGACGCTAGGTGTTAGTACATTTTTTATCCAGTGAGTGGCAACACTGGTGATGACTGGTGACTGATGACTAGACAGCGGATTTCTGTCGGGCTACGTCACGATTTTAGTGGGGACGCGCTGCATCGCCGGGACTCAGTAGCGGGTCATAGGTAATCACTGAGTTTAATTGTCACTTGATTCCATAAATACAATTAACGATTTATTAATCAAACGGCTAACTAAATGAGAACTGGAATTAACAGCAGAGTGCAACGAAGCAGCGTTATTCTAATCTCAAATAAACGAAGTGCAGCCGGTAACTGCAATGAATTCCCCTCCCGTACGAGCCGTACCGAGTTTGGCCTTGTCTAGCCCGACAGAAATCCGCTCTCTACTGATGACTGATGAGCGTCTGTGAGGGAATGAGAGTGAGAGTGGCACTTGATTGTTGACTTTTTCGACTTTTTCACTACTCGTCCGTCCTCAAATGACGCAACACAAAAATGGAAAAATTATAGAATCGCACAAAATCGTCAACTGGCGCCGACATAGAAAAAACAACGCCAATCTTGGGCGCCAAGTCGCCAAAATGGCGACAAATCGCCAAATTTGGGCATCATGGTGTGTTATGCATGGTTATATTTATTATAGATGTGAACTTGAGTGAGAATAATAATAATAATAATAATCATCATCATCATCGCTGCATATTAATAGTACATGCTAGGAGTTCGTAAAGTAAAACGTAAGATACATGTAATTTTTAACACATTTATTAAAAACATTTTTTTTAACCTTACATAGTTATAGCGATTATTATCATAGAATAAATTAACAAGCATCTCACATCTTAGTGAAAATGTCTGTCAAACCGACACTTTAACAGAAGTTTTCACTAACTTTGGCACCGGTTTTAATAATAATAATAATGTTTAATTTAATTTAACAAAACAATTAACAAAAATGAACACAGGACACAGTCGCTTGCGAAAAATTTCGGGCAAGATCAGCAAATCATGTTCTCGTAGATCAATGAAAAGCGATGGGAATGTGACTTTATGTTAATGTCATTTGCCCGAAATTTTTTGGAAACGACGGTATGTATATATAAATGTATACTCATTAAATACATTATTTTATAATAAAAAAAGGATTAAACTGATAACAGTGTTTAATTTGTCAACAGTTTCATATTATTTATTTTATTGCTGAATTTCTTATGAGCGAGATATTTGCAGGCTACAAAATCTTTGTACAATAGTGTAGGCATTGCCCGTGTTAACAAAAAAATAGATTTTTTTAAAAATTTTCAAATTGTCCATCAAAACGGCATCATCGTGAATTTCATGGTTTCGAACACTTGAATAGCCTCCAACCAAAACTGGTAATGAATGCAATTTTTGGTAACTGCACATGTGAATTTCTCGCTTTTATCAGAATGCAGGCAACTCGCATTCAGGCTGTCGAATACCTGATCCACAAACAAAACAAACTTTGCAGTTTTGGTAGCCTACTCAGTCATTTCTTGGGGAGCTAAAAAATTACATAAAATTAGAAAAATAATATTATTATTAAAATTACCATACCTGTACGAGTTAGTAATTTTATCCCAGCAGCCACATGTGAACTTAAAGTTTGCGCTGCAATACCCACTTTCTTTTTTTTTCTTATTTATTAATGTGAGCCTCTGTTAATTTATGGAAAAGACGGTAGTCTTCGTCCTTAAAATTTACATATAACTTAATATTATCATTTTTGGGGACTTAAAAAAAAGTACTAAATACACGAATTATAACTTTTTTTCTAAAAAAAATAAAACTATATAGATAAAACTATATATATTATATATAGTTTCATCTGTTCACGCCTGACAATTTTTGCATTGGTCATGGGCAACATATACACCCCGAGACGACTTCGTCCAATTTAATTTTGTTTTAATAGTCAATCGCAGAAAAAAATGACAAAGATGTCAATGCCAAATAATGACAAAATTGAAAAAACTAATACTCAATTTATTAATGCATCAGATTACGAAGAAAACGAATTTATAATAAATGTTCAAAATGCCTGCCTCCACTATCTTCACAAAGTCCTATCCTACGTTCAAAATGTCTACGAACCCTATCTAACGTATCGAGAGTTAAAGATCTGCATGACGCTATTATCCTTTCACGTAAGTGGTTTTCATTTTAGATTGGGACCCTATAAACGCCATTTTTCAACTTCCCCCAAAGAAAAATATCTAATGGCGTTAGATCAGGGCCAAGCGTACTCTTCTCTAGCAATAACTCTTGGTCCAAACGCTCTGTATAAATAGTTCCTAACGTCTCTCTGATAATGAGCGGGAGCGCCATCATTTTGAAACCAAATTATTCTTCGTATGTCTAGCTTTGCGTTTTCCACCAGTTCAGGTAAAATATTCTTTAAAAATTTTAGATACATAGGTTGGTTTAAATTTCCTTCAAAAAAATGTGGACCAATGACGTGGTTACCAACAATTCCGCGCCAAGCATTAACTTTGAAAACTACTTGAGACTGCTCTTCCTGATATCAATGGGGATTTTGCTGGGCATAGTAATGGGAGTTGTGTCTGTTTACATACATGTTATTGGTAACTGTGGCTTCATCCGTAAACAAAACGTTAAATAAAAAATCTTCATTGTCACGTATTTGAGCCCTCACGAATTCGGAAAACACTAACCGTCGGATAAAATATCGTTCTATTAAATATTGGACAGTTGTCACATGGTATGGATGAAATCGGTTGGTGTTTAAGATACTGAAAACCAAACCCAAACTAATCTACATTTGTCTTACAATCTGTCTTTGACTCACGTGGGAATTTCTGCTACAATTTTATTCAGAACAGCTTCATTATCCGGCGTTGTTACAGTTCGATTCCTAACTTAATTTTTTTTTAATTGCCTAAATGCTCGTAATTTTTTTTCAAGTTTTCTAAACGCTTGATTTGAGGAAATTCTTCTGTTTGGATATTGCCTGGCGTGGAGACGAACAGTAGCATCAATATTTTTGTGACAGTTTCCCGATATTAAAAGCGTGTCTGTTTTTTCAGAAAATGCAGAAAATATCACAAATAAAATTGGAATCATTCAAAAATCGGGAACTGAAAAATCGTAAAATCGAAAAACCTAAGAACAGGCAAATTTAAATTTGACGCCAACGTGCTTTGTTGCGATTAGTGGGCATGAATGCGGAAATTAATGTAATCTATTTTGACTGGCGGATCAAATTCGTGAGGTTATGTTCGGCAGAATTGCACGTGCGGGAAGAAAATTTTACTCTTGTTCCGTATTAACTGTGCTCCAACAAGTTTTGGGTAAGAAAAGTGCCAATTCTCTTCCATTGTGTGATAAAACGATTTCAGGTGGACAACATGTCAACTCTGGAATACTGTCAAGGAATCACAACACGTTGCAGATCTGCATGGCAAAACGTTCACAACTGTAACCTATGTCCCTATTTTACAACTTCGCTTTTCTTTATGGTGAACCACGTGAGACGACACCGTTCATCTCTGGAGGAATTTACTTGCGACAACGCCAAAATTGAAGCTTATTATTGTAAAGACTGTGATTATAAGACGGAACTAACAGTTTTGTTCAAACAACACATTTATAAACATCACGGCCTTAAGAGAGAATCTGAAAAGGTTTTTTCAAGTGAGGATTTCCGCATACAAACCTACGTTTGCCAAAAATGCGACTTTGAAACAAATCTCTCGTTGAACTGGCTTCAGCACACTTTAATATGTACGAGAAATAAAGAAAATCTTCAAAATGTGAACTTTGCAAAAGAAAAGATTACAAACAATTCCGACTTTAACCAATGTCACGAAATGCCTTGGTGTTATTGTGCTGAATGTCCCTACACAACTAAACTCCAAAAATATTTGAAACGTCACATTAAAAATACCCATTCGAACAAACGGTATGCATGCGATAAGTGTCAATATAAAACTAGACGTAAAGCAAATTTAAGACTCCATATAAATAGTCTCCACATAGATGAGGACGATATTGAATGGCACAAGTGCCAAAAATGTCCATTCAAGACCAAAGCTAAAGCTAATTTAAAGAAACACATAAAAAACTTACACTTGAAGGACGAAGATGTTAAATGGTACAAATGCAATGTGTGTTCTTTCAAAACTAAGCACAAAAAATCCTTAAACGTACACGTAGGAATAAAACATCTAGATGAAGAAAAAATTAAATGGTATGAATGTGAAAATTGTCCATACAGAGCTAAACTACCGTCGCATTTAAGAAATCATGTAATTTTTCAACATTTGGATCAAGAAAAAATTAAGTGGTACGACTGTGCGAACTGTCCATACAGAAGTAAAGCAAAATCTAATTTAAGAAGGCATGTAAAAATCCATTTGGATATCAAATCGTATTAGTGCTTCTATTGTTCATATAAGACGAAACGCAGTAATCTTAAGTAGTACAAATGCGAACATTGTCCTTACAAAAGTCAAAGTAGATAATCTTTTTATAAACACATAAAAAGCGGTGTGACATTTAGTTGATTATAAGCGGGGTATGCCCATATTTAGTTGAATGTAGTAATACCTGTATGTTTTCTTCAGCCACTCTATGATGTGCTATAATTTGTGACTTCTTTTGATTAAGATATTAAATAAAAACTAATTGAATGTTTAATTTTTCACATTACATACTTTTAATAAATACTTAACGCGTTTTTAAAATAAAACACATAATATGCAAAACATAAGGTTCAAGAAGTACATGACTTCATAACGAGACAGTAAAGTGAAAAATGGAATGAGCACACCTGTTCATTGTTTCCTTGTTGACCTTCCATGTTTATTGCTGTCAATCATAAGAATTAAAAAATTTGAAGTTGATGCGACTTAAAATCCAAAATCAAGTAATTACAAAAAAAAATATGAAAAACAAAAAATGGAGTAGTTGAAAAATTCGTAAAATTAGAAAACTAGGAAATCGAAAATCGAAAAACTGAAGAAAATTTAAAAGACCAAAAATCGATGCCAGTTAGAACCCGTGGTTAGACCATTCAAACTCGCGCCAAATTAAATTGAAGCAATATGCTTTGTTGTGATTGGTCGACACGGTTGTGGAAATTAATGTAGTCAAGTTGAATTGCGAATTTTAATTTGTGCGGTTATGTTCGTTCAAGTTGTACGTGTGTAAAGAAATATATAATCCTTTCCGGTTTTAACTGTTCTCCAACCAGATTTGGGTAAGAAAAATGCCAGTATTCTTCCACAGTGTGATAAAACGGTTTTAGGTGGGCAAAGTATCAACTTTGAAATACTATGAATGAAGTAATCACAACAGCTGGGAGGTCTTCATGGAAAAACGTACGCACTTGTACTTACTTTTCAACTTTGCTTTTCCTTATGACGAACCACATGAGACGACACTGATTCCCCCTGGAAACATTTACTTGTGACAACTCCAAAATGGAAGCTTATCACTGTTAAAACTAATCACTGTGATTTTAAGACTAATCTGACACTTGTGTTTAAACAACACATTAATACACATGACGGCCCTAAGAGGGAATCTAGTGAGGAAACATCTAGTGAGGAATCATTTAGTGAGGAATCATCTAGTGAGGATTCCAGCATAGAAAACTACGGTTGCGCAAAATATTATTTTGAGCCAAATCTGTCGTTAAAGTCGTTTCAGCATATGTACTTCAGCATGCACGGAAATGAAAGAAAATCTTCAAAGTGTGAGTTCTTTGAAAGAGTAATAGTATAAGTCGTATGCATGCGACAAGTGTACATTTACAAGCAGATGGATTGGAAATTTAAAAGTCCACATAAATAGAATCCACTTAGATGAACAAGATGCTGAATGACACAAGTGCCAAAAATGCCCATTCAAGACCAAAGCAAAAACATATTTAAGACAACACATAAGCAACTTACACTTGAACGACGAAGACGTTAAATGGCACAAATGCAACGAGTGTTCTTTCAAAACTAAGCGTGGAGCATCTTTGAAAAAACACGTTAATTACAAGCATCTAGACGACACAAAAATTAAGTGGTACAATTGTCACAATTGTTCCTATAGAACCAAACAAGCATCGAACTTAAAAAGTCATGTAATCTGTCAACATTTGAATAATGAGGAAATTAACTAGTTCAAATGTGGACAGTGTTCATTCAAAGGTAAAACAAAAAGTAGTTTAAAAATTCATGTATTGTATAAACATTTGAATGATGAGGAAATTAAATGGTTCAAATGTGGAGAAGGGTAAAACAAAAAGTAAATTAAGAAGACATGTAAAGGTCCATTTGAAGATCAGATAGTATCCGTGTGATTATTGCTCATATAACGCAGTGAATATTTAACGCGTCATATAAGTAAATAACCATTTGAATGGAACTGAAGTTAAATTCTACCAACTGTCCTTACTAAATTAAAAGTTGAGCATCTATTTATGAACAGGAAAAACACGTGTGGGTTTTAGTTGTAGTTTAGTTGAATGTAGTACTATAATTTTGAATGTATGTATATCTATTTTTATTAGTTCGTTTGTTTTTTTTTGTCTAGCATTTGTCTCAGACCCTGTAATATGTTATATTTTGTGACTATATTTTTATTAAGATTAGGATTAGAAACATTTTCAATGTTTTTTTATCTTCCATAAGTACATAAAATAATTTGGTGTCCCAATTTGAATTAAAAGTTCGCTTTTGAATAATTCTAATCTGAAAATTGAATTAAGAAAATCGTCAAACATCGACAACCATGTGCAACTTTAATGTCTTCGCTGTTAGTTTGGCAGCTCGTTTAGGGAATTTGTAAATCAGGTCTTTTTGGTTGATTGTTTGTCTGGTGTAGAGGTACAGCCACTCGGTAACCATGAAAGTTACCTAGGTTAAGTTTATTTTGGTTTGATAATTTCATAAAATTGCCTTTGTTTCAACGAAACTTAAATCGTACCGACGGCGACGCCACAATGTGTGAATTTTTGACCATGTTGTTAACACGTGGTGTAAATTTGTTGATTGCTATAAATTCACCGTTCATGTTAGGATTTTTAACCGTTCCTGATTCTAACACAATTTAGCAGTCATTAAAATTGTTGTTTTTTTTCTCACGCAATCTGTCGAAATTATACATTTTATTTTCCTTGTATGACACCGAAAAAATAAGCAACTTTATTCTATTATTCGTTTAAAGGGATAGACGGTTTTTCTTCCTTAAATATTAGATATTTAAATATAATAGATTCTCATTTTGAAGTTTAAAATAGTAATTGGCATTATTCATAATTTAATTTTGAGCATTGATTTGTTTCTTTTTGGAAATTAGCTGTGAAGTGAATGTCGTTGTGAATTCGAAGAGTGAAAGGAGATTTTATGCTGAATTTGTGTTATGTTTTATTTGTTCTATGACTTTAATTTTGGAACATTTATACTGGGACACGCCTTTTAAAGCGACGTGTGTACTGGACGACATTTTGTGGTTGGGCCATATTTAACATCTGTTTTATCTTTGCAATGATCTGGGAATTTGATTCACGATGCAGTTTTAATTCATTAATTTTGCTTTATTAGGGTAAATGTGTACAAGAGTGCGCATATGTATAAGAGTACGCACTGATGATTTCTGCTTATTAGTGCCATCTGGGTAAGATGAAGTTATACCATTCAGAATTTAATGTTAAACCTGAGATAAAGGTGCAAAAGTAACCTGAATATAGTTTATAGTTTGGTCGTACTGACGATTTTATGTTCACACGTTGTGTGGATGTAATTTTTACCGCTCATAGTTTTAGTTTTTTGTAAGGTACGTACCAGTTCTTTTATTTTACAGTAATAATTTTCATTAGTTGTAACTTTTAAGGTGTCGTTATACACCAACAGTTTTACACTTTCTGTCCATCAAAAGCTTTTAACTTTGAAAACATTAGGTTATGTACAAATGTACAAGAGTGCGCAGCGAGGTATTGAATAAGAGTGAGCATTGCTTGCAATACGTAGTCTAATAGTCTTGGAGATACATATCATACGATAATGAATTATTTAACTGTACTACTTTGTACTGCTTCTCGACTTGTGGGGTGGTGGTTATGGTGATTTTTTTTTTATTTTTACTTCCTGAGCGTGTTGTAATCGAGTCCGTCGACCGACTCTCTATTTTTACGTTTTCTCGTCTTTTCAAGACCCCTAGAGTACGAAGAAATAGGTCTCCCGTTTTATGTGTAGTCTGTAGTCACTTGTTCCCATTTATTTTCACCTTAGAAACAAATATTTTTTCATAAAATGTAATGCGTACTCATAAGCGTTCAAATGCGCACTCTTGTGCAATGAACTGTCTAAGAGTGCGCATTTACACATCTTGACAAAAATTGAAATTACTCTTAAAATATAGTGGTGTTGGGGCGTACAATTAAATATATCTGATCTCCAAACATGTATATAACGAACCCATATCATAAAATTTGTCTATCCAAAAAAATTAAAAAGTTGTTGACAGTTTTACACTAAGTGCGTACTCTTGTACACATTTACCCTAAATAAAAAAACTTGAAGCAGCTGCCGTAGGCGCCATCGGACGCAGTAGATATAGCGCATCCTTACGGGGGCACCGCGACATGGTTGTACGTAGCTGTGGTTAGTTTGAACAGACAGTCAAAGACCGGATCTAGAACGATTAGCGCTACACGTTCTACGTCTCTTAAACTGTTGAATTAAATCGTGTTGTTTTTCTTCTGACTGCCAATAAAACAAAAACAAAAAAAAATGCCAACACACAACCATCATAACAGTGTGTGCCAGGACATACGTTCGCTTTAGATAAGATGTTGCAAACTAGAGAACTGTGTAAATTTAACAAGCTGCATTTATGTGATCGAAATTTATAATCGTGCATTTGAAAAGAACAAGGAGATTTTATAAGACGGAATATAATGTTTTCGCCATATTTTTGTATCGTAAATTCAAGGCACTTTTCCACTTTTGCGGTTCACCACTTGCATTAGAATGAATTCCGCTATTTCAAAACACTACGTACGATTCTATCTTGTTGACGCTCACCGTTCATGGCTGTGACTTCAAAATTTTCACGGGTTTTCGAATTTTGTTCACATGTAAATTTTGAACGTTTGGGTTAGCACAAGATCATCACAAAGCTCCCAATATGAGTATAAGTGTAATAGCGTATACAGGGTGTTATTGAAAGTTACGTACAAAATAAAATCGGCGATTGGTCTGGAAGTATGAGTGCTAAGTAAAAAAAAAGTTCAGGTAAAAATGTTCTCCTTTTAGACATAAAAATTATTAAAATTTATGTCCAAATTCGTTGTCCATCCTTTAGTATCGTTTAAAAAGGTTGGATATGTGTTAATTTTCCCCTTCTAATTTTGATAACACAAAATAAGTTTTCCAGACTTCTTAGACTTCGCGAATAACTGTCAATTTCGTTGTACGTACCTTTCAATAACAGCCTCTATATCCTCAGGAGCCTCATTCAAAAATTAGTCAATCTGCTTTTTACTAAAAATTCTTAATTTTTTGGATGTACAAGATTCACTTTGTATTTTCAGGTATCTCCGTAACTTCGAATAATTCGATATGTCTACGTTTTGGTGATTAGCCGTATAGCCGTTGAAAGGTTGGGTTAAATTTTGTTTCTTGCAACTTCTTTTTTATAAGCCCCAACATCAGCTTGTGTAATTAGTGTAAAAGCAGTTTATTAACAAAAAAATAGCCGATTATTTAACAACACTAGTTCTGGATGATTTCCATAAGTTATGATTCACGTTTGTAACTTCTCACTCTCACCCGAGTTTGTTATTTTATAAATAAAAACTAAATCTAAACATTTTCCAAGCTCAAAATTAAAAAATTGAAAGTTGAAACTTGGAACAATTGGAAAAAATGTCAAAATTAAAAATGGAATAGTTGAAAAATCGGAAAAATCAAAAACAAATCGTAAAATCGAAGACCTGACGAACATTTAAAAAACCGAAAATCGGTGTCAATTAGAAAACATGCTTAAACATTTCGAATTTGCGCCAATTTGAATTTGACGCCAATGTGTTTTGTTGTGATTGGTCGGCAGGCTTGCAGAAATTAATGTATACCAGTTGCACTGGGAGTTTTAATTTGTGCGGTTATGTTCGTTCTAATTACACGTATGTCAAGAAATATTCATTTCCGCTTTTAACTGTGTGCCAACGGGCTTTGGATAAGAAAAATGCCAGGATCCTTCCAGAGTGTGATAAAACGGTTTTCGATGACCAGAGTTTTAACTTTGGAATAATGTGAAGCAATCGTAATTAGGTGGGAGGTCTTTATGGTAAAACATACACACTTGCAAACTATGCCCTTATTCTTCAACCTGCTTTTTCCTTATGGCAAACCACATGAGACGACACTGATTCTCCCTAGAAACATTTACTTGTGACAACACCAAAATGGAAACTCATCACTAGAGAGCGGATTTATAAGCACAAAAAAAAATAAGAATAAGCGCTTAAATAAGCACATTTTCAATAAAAGTTTTATTTTAAGCAAAAAAGCATTAAATAAGCATAACACTTTCATTAAAAAAGTTTTATTTTAAGCAAAAAAGCATTAAAAACATAATCATATTACAAATCAAAGAACACTTCTTAGAACTTTGGATAAAATTATTACAATAATCCTAGACTTTATATTTTACACACGTATTTCAGTTTTCTTTAAAACAATTTATGATTGTAATATGTTCCAAGTTGTCCACTGTCAAATTTTTTCGCCGATCATTTAAAATGTGTTTAAAATTGGAGAATGTGCGTTCAACATCCACACTCATTGTTGGTGCAAATTTGAATTTTGCAACTAATGTTGAATCTAACTCCAAATTTTCCACCTTCTGGCCTTGTAAAGCACGAGCAACGTCGGAAAGAACACCAAAACCTGCATTTTTATTTAACACTTCCTCAAGTTTTTGAGATACTCTAGTACCAATATCACCCCTTACTACGTTTGCTTGTTGTTTAAATTCTTTCACTAAGCTTATGGCATCTACCAACAACATGTTGGGTTTTACTAACTTTTCTATTACCTCACATACGAATTGATAATTGCTTCTTAGAAAAGCTAGATCTTGTCGCAAATCTTTGTTTTCCAAAATATTTATGCAATCTTTAATCGATTGAGAAGAATCTTCGCTAAACTCCGTGACTACTTCCTCAAATTCTTTAATATATTTGCCATAGTAAAATGTGGCCTGTAACCATGTTCCCCACCTCGTTATAATCGGCTCTGGGGGCAATGGTATGTTTGGAAAATTTTCCTTAAAATGTTGCACTCTTAGTGGGGCTTTAACAAAAATCTTTTCAGCATTTGCCACTAATTTATTAACAGTCTGCAAACGTATTCTTTCAGCCACTCTGTTTAAACCGTGGGCAATGCAAGTAGAGTGAATTAAATTAGGGTACAAATGGTACAATATTTTTAGATTATTCCCTGCTTTCAACATATAAAGAGCTGCATCCGAGATCATCAATAAAATTTTATTTGCCGGAACGGCATTTGGCAAAAATAGTGACGTAAGACTGTCATTTACAAATCTGGTAA